GTCGATGCCCAAGATGCATTTTTTGGTAATGTCTGCCACCAGGAACGTGCTCTCATACTTCAGGTCTTCCATCTCTACAGTGTAGAAAACTAACCTTTGATAGGCGTTATTTCCCATACAACATTTCCTGTTATGTCCCCTTTTTTCAGTTACAGCATTTTTGTGGTTTGTAGTTTCCTCATAAATTTGTCTGATTCTTGTGTCCTTCAACATAAACTTTACTGATTTCAACGTCGTGTACTTCTCCAGGATTCTTCTGTGTTTTTATTTTTGAGTTTGTGATGCCATATCTCATATCTGGGCCGTTCTGTCTCTGAATTTTGTGGTACCTGTCAGTTGTTGAGCAGATTTCCCTGGTTTCTGCATAGGGTGGTCGAACTGTGTCAAATAGAGATGACAACAACAAATATTACAAAAGGCATCTAAGCTATCCGTCTGGTCATTCTAAACCTTGTAAACTCAATAAAAAGAAAGCACTTGCTTCAAGTGCCAACAAAATCAAGAGAGGACCACGACCACCTATAGCCAAAGGAACTAAAATAACGAAAACCTGGCATGAAACAAAATGAAATAATGCAGGTTTTAAAAGTAATGATCTGGTATGGTTATAGGACACGCTGCTAAGTAAAGGGCGATGCCCAAAACACCAAAGAAATGGTGAAGATCCGTACAAGGTCATCAACGAGAAAAACACGTGGTCTACAGGATCCAAGATCATGAAAGACAGTGGATAAAGATGAAGGTTGTATATTTGGATAGGTTAGCCCCTATTTATCGGAAAAAAATGCCTATATTAGTGACCAACAGGCTGAGGTAGGGCTCAGCCAGTTAGTGTGTAATAATGTTCTATCCACAGCATTTGTCGAAATAAAACTTTGCAAATTTTTAGTTAATAATAATTCATTGCAATTAATTTCAATTAATTATTATCAACTTGAATCTATAATTCGATGTTTTCATAATAAAATAATGTTAGTGTCAAATATCTTTGTAACGCGCGATTGTAAAGATGCTACATATAAGCAGAGCACGAGTAATGAGATTGGAGTTGTTGAATTATGAAGTTGCGCTGTGAATTTGGCAATCGTTCTACATCGAGGATTTTTTTTACCAAATTATTCAGTGTTTCTATTACTATTGGCATTCAAATAAACGTTTAAACAAATCTCTGTTTAAAGCAGTTGTGCTCATTTATCAGAAATAATTGAATATACGAAAAATCGATAACTTGACGGTAAAGACAGTTACAACATTACTATTTTAGTGACCAGATTCTTTAATCGCTCACCAAACGCAATTGTTGATTCATACATTTTTGACTTAAACTTATACTATTTTTCTAGAATATTTGTTAAAAAAAATTATTTTTTATCGGGATAATATCTTATTTGATAGTTCAGCATTTAATACAGAAAAAAAATTTCTCTGATGACTAACGCCATCCCGTACTATATGTTTTTGCAAGTTGAAGCGGTGATTTAAAAGCGGTTTTTTTTGTTGACTAAAACGTAAAACAATTTTTGTTGACTAACCCATAAAACAATTTATTATTCAGTTCCGCGATTCTCGCAATATTTTATGTATCCGCATGCGTGTAATGACCTCGGTTGAAACATTTTGGAATCTTATCAAAATAATTTAAATAAAATTACAAACTTCCTCAATTTGTTTCATAATAATTTCCAGTTTATTATTCACAGGTTCATTAATGTAAGCTTGCAATGTTTCGTAATACTTAATCCTGAAATAATTCAATTTTATTTGAATTAAACTTATTTGAATAAAAAAATATTTTTTTTATCAACATTTGACAGAAAAAAATAATCAAAAGTTAAGCAAAAAAAAAGCAATAATTTTTGATGGTGCTAAAACAGGTTTTAAAGAGTAAGAATAGATACGAGTTAACGTTGGAACATAAATGTTTGGTAGAAATTTAAGAACTTAGCTACCCGTCAACAGTAATCCTACATTAGTGTAAATATCCAAATCTCTCACAAATCATCCCTGATCGCCCACAATTTTTAAGGATTAACCATACACAAGAATAAGCCGAAAAAGAACAACCGAAACACATAACAACTATGTATCAAGAAATTTATGGATCTTGTTTCATCTTTTGGTCTGAGACCGGTTGTTGATGGTCCTACGTATGGGGCCGGCAATATGCTAGACATCATAATGGTCCTTTAAAACATCCGGTATTGGCCATATAAAATTTTTTATATAGTTTTTTGACTGTTTAAATTGGTCTTCGTGAATAATATCTGTTTGGTATTTTTTTTTTTAAATAAAGGGTCATCAGTTTGTTTTGTTTATTCAACATTATTTCGAACAAGTTTACTAAAACTCTTACTTAGATTACGTTAGGGATATGAGTTAGGTGCATGACTAGAGGGGTTGAAAGTTAAACCCCATTTTTGTAAACATCCCGGTCACCTTTTTGTTTCATTTTCGTAAATTGTTTTTTGTGTTTGTTTATGTTTTTGCCCTGAAGTTAAGTTTAAGATTGGCACCATAGAAAAAAGTGGCACCATAGAAAAAAGTGGGAAATGTTAGGATGAAGATATAACCTGTTTTTCATGTAAAAACTTTTTTTTTATATATTTGTGGGTTTAGATGAAGATTTTATGAGAAAAGTAAGTGGCATACCAAACTTTTTATAGTTCTGTGATGAGTGTCAAGTGAAGAGATAGCGACATCTACGATCTCTAAATACATTTTTTATTTAAATAATTGCAAAATGTCAAATATATGAACGTTTTCGTCACCATAAGTAAAACTTCTTACTGAAAAACGCGTATTCCTATGTTCAGAAGGTACTTCAGATGAGCCGAGCCAGCTACATAACCAGCTTTGACGCCAAAAGTGGATATTGGCAAATACTTATAGAGGATCGATCGAGATGGCTGACAGCTTTTGTATGTGACTTCGGTTTATATGAATTTACCCGCATGACTTTCGGGTCATGAGGGAACTGACAAGTTATAAAAGGTTTTAATGAAGCGTACATAAATGATATTGCCGTATACTCTCATACTTGCGAGGAACACAAAATCAATCAATCAATCTTCGTTTAGCGTCCAGAGACCCAGTTCTCCCGAGGTAGGACGTTGTTTTCTTTGCCATCAATTTTATGCGCTAAATTAGGCGATCAGTTGTAACCATTTCATTTAAATTTAGAGCTTTCATGTCTTGCTCGATTGTTTGCAACCAGGACTTCTTTGGCCGACCTTTGGGGCGTGTGCCAGGTACTTCAACATCTGCCAGAGAAATTATGGCACTGTTTCCACTTCGTTTGACATGACCAAACCACTTCAGACGGTGTAGCCGGCATTCGTCCTTTATGTCATCTAAATCAAAACGACGCAGGATTTCGGTTGAATTGATGTGGTCCTTCTGACTAATTCGTTGCATCCAATTATTTTTGAACAACGTTTGTGACACCACTGGTTACACTGCTGACATTTGATTAAATTGTTACCTACACCAGCTTTACAAACTTAACAGGGCCATCGTCCAGTAGCTGTGGATTGGATGGTTCACCAGTGTTCTTTGCTTTGGTTTTGCTGATGTTGACTTTGAATCCATGATCGGCGAGTCTGGTATTCCAACTTACAACATCTGTGCTGCATTCTGCTCAGACGTGGCTGTTAAAACGATATCATCAGCATATATTAGATTCCAAATGTAACCAGTGCGTATCGGTTTTGTGATTTTTTCCATCACAGTTATAAATAACAGTGAACTGAGAATCGAGCCTTGGTGAACTCAAACGCCCATGTCAAATGCATCTGTGTTTCCAACCGTTGTGCTGACGAGAGTAGTATTCGTATACATTTCCATCACAGGTCGAACAAGATATTCTGGAATGAGTTGTCGTAGTAGACTCCACCTGATTGCTTCACGGGGAACTCGATCAAATGCTTTCTCAAGGTCTACTAGGTGATAGTTGTTAATGCTTTGCGAAGTACTTCTCTTGCAGTTGCCGAAGGATGTGAATTTCATCAACTGTTGATTTCCCTCTAGAAAACCAAATTTAAAATTGTGATGCACGACGTTAATCTTCTTTCAATAATTTTCTCCACAATTTTCACGGAGTGTTCTAACAGACGTATACGTATAAAGAACAGTTCAATGGATCATCTTTTTCTTTGTATATCGGGACTGTCATGCTATAGTTCCATTCAGTCGGCATCGAGCAATTTCTCCACACTTCACGGCAAAGTTGTAGTAACGTTAGGATACCTGCAGTACCAGATGCTTTGATAATGTCATTTGTGAGTCCAGAGGGCCCTGCTGCCTTTCCATCTTTCAGAGCTTCTGTAAGCTCCTCAACAGTGATGTTCGGAATCGGACCTTCGATGGGTGGAGCGTCAAAATTGACATTGATGGGACTTGTTTTATTTAACAGACGGTTAAAATATTATTTCCACTGTAGTTTGATCTTATCTTGTTTAAGAACCATCTCATTTTTGTCGTTTTTGGTACACGAGGCACCAACTATGTCTTTTTTCGTACGCTTTGCTTGTTTTGCTATACAATACAAAAATTTCATTTGTTTACCTTTGCTTTTAGTGAGCCACTCTCTGCACTGATCTGTCCGAGCCAGTGCGACTTGGCGTCTTGCATAGTTGTTCTTCTCACGAAAACTTTTGTGGTCATCAACAGACTTTGATTTTTGCCATTGCTTGTATGCAGCTTTCTTTTCAGCTATTGCATTTTGTACACTGTCATTCCACCATCAATTCATACAGGGAAAACTGGTACAAAACGTCATATGGCAGTTTATTTTCTACTGCCATATAATGTTATTCTTAATTAAAAGCTTTTTCACGAATATTAGAAATTATTTTTACTTTGATGCCTTTCGTTTAAAATATTAAAAAAAGTAGCACAAAAAGCATGTTCAATTTTGATGAAATACCTTTTTTATTATTTTAAATATACATCGTTTTAATTTCATTTTTTTGTTTACTGAACTAATTTATAATTAAAATCGTTTACTTGTCTATTAGATGGCTTTCACGGTTTTTGCATGAAGTAATTTCAACCTGTAGTTTTAGTTTAAAAATATTTTAATGAAGTTAATATTTTCAATATTTTCATTTTATTATTTTATACAATTTATCAAATAAACATGACCTCACCAACCTTTACTTTTATAAATTCGTTTTTTAAAGAAAAATTTTCGTTCGTTTTCTCATTTAAAATGTTGGTCATTTTCAAAAGTTCCTCACATTTTTCATCACACTTTTTCACCGATGTCATCAACTAACGTTAAGAAAAATATTTATTTAACAATGAAATCAATTTACAATGCAATACAAAAATATTTCACTAAATATTAGTCTACAAATTGATGGTTTTAGCTTAGACATAAAGTTCAAAAAATATCTTTTCTTTGCTACAGCGACTGTTTGTTGAACCCTTTTTCAACTAGTAAAATTTAAACAAGCACAGCGGTTCTTATTATCTCTTTTATTTATGGCTTTTCTGCAGATTTTGGGTATTTCTCCGGAATTCCATTTTTTGTTTGTACTCAGAATACTGTACACAAAACATCAGGTTTTAGTATCGAGCTCTACAATTTTTAGTACATCAGTAGATTGCTGGCATACGCTGGCATACAAATAATATAATTTGATTTTTTTAAATTTGTCGATTAAAATAGATTAACTGATGTTGATAATGAGTAATAAAAATTGAAAATTCTGGTTTAAAGTATATACATTTACTAAGATTAATTTGTTTATTTTTGTACAGAAACAAGATCTTTAATAACTTTGTGGAGAAAGAGTTAATGAGTTCGTGATTAAGTGTTATACATACTCTACATATAAAAACAATAAATTAATCAAATGAGTTACGCAACTATTACAACTGTAATGTTGTATTAATTGTTGTAACAATAATGAATTTAAAATAATCTTGTTCAGTAACTTTTACACATATATATAACATTAATAAAATCCATTTACTTGATTCTTCAATAGCGCATTTATTTTTTCGTTAGTAGCCAGTGACAAATTGTTTTCCTTACAAATGAATAAAAATAAGTGTAAATTACATTTCATATAATTATCTAAACTTATAAATTAAATTCCAAAAAGACTGAAAAACGCCATGGTATTATTCAAAAAAAATTGAAAGACAATTCGAAAATATTTGTATGTGATAAATTTGGTTTAAGAATAATAAAAAAGGCGCATGAATATTATGGACATATTGGAGCTGGAAAATTGTAAGAGAAAATAAGACCATTCTATTATTTCAAAAACTATGATCAATTAATTGTATAATTTTGTAAAAAATTAGAGAACAAAACCGGAAAAAATAGAATCATAGGATTAATGTCAAAACTAGGACCCGCAATAGAACCATTTAAAATTATGTCCATTGATACAGTAGATCAACCAAAGAAATATAAGCATATTTTAGTAGACCATTTTGGTAGATATGCTTAGATCTCCACCACAAAAAGTCAATGTGCAACAGATTTCATAAAGTTAATTGACACAATTGCTAAGAAAAATACGATTAAAATACTTTTAGCCGACCAGTACACTGGAATTAATTCTACAGGAATCAAGCTGTATCTCAACAAGATGAACGTTCAAGTGGTTTTTACATGTGTAGATTGCCCTCAATCAAATGGACTAAATGAAAGAAAGACTAAACCAAATACTTGTAAACAGAATAAGATGTAAACTTAACAGTGGAGCAAAACAGGCATTTTTCGTCATTGCAGACGAATGTGTCAAAAATACAATCGTACAATTCATAGTTCGAACCGGAATACATATTATATGGCATAAAGTCAACTATAACCCCAGATGACTTACCAGCAAGCGATTTAGTTGCTGATAGAATACAGGCCTGTAAGAATTCGATGCAAAATTTTGAAATAAACAAGAAGAGAGTTGACAAAAATTTAACACGAATTTAAAGTGGGCGATCAGGTCTATGTCCAGAATGGGAGTAAACTCAATAGAAGTAAAATGGACAAAATAAAAGTTAGAATTTTTAGAAAGATGTCACCGTTGATTTTCAAAGTAGGCTGTGAAAGAATAAAAAATCAAATTTTTTCACATAAATTGTCACTTTATATATCTTAAGAAGGGGGGATATTTAAATTATATTTCATATAATTATCTATGCTTAAGATCCTTGAATTTCTATTCTTTGCTTATAGCGTGACTTTTACAATCCTATATAATTTTTTTACACGTGGTCAGTTTTATGATTGTGTGTTAATAGCTTGGTATTTGTACCTGGAACTTAATTTTTCTATTTTAGATAAATAAATAAGGTTCTCGAACCAAACTTATATAAGTTCTAAATTAAAAAAAATCTTTCAATAAAAAAAATAAGAAATGTTGCTTTTTTTAAAAACGTACTTTTTAAAAAATATTATTCAATTATTCATTAATCTCAGTTTTAAGCTTTTGGCTATCAATTATTTCATATAACATCATTTCATTCTATCAATTCGTAAAGTTCACCATTTTAAACTCACGTTCATTTGGTTTAACGTCTATTTCTTAGTTATGGTTATAATGAATTTTTTTTCAGTTTTAATAAATCCAAAACCAGTTTAAACATTTAAATGTTACAAAAAAATGAAACCTAGTTGTTTCAATTGATATTGAATGGCATTGAAATTGAAAATTTGACACTGTCAAGCCTAGTACACACTAGCAGACTGTAACTACGCAATTCGTCCATGAGCCATTTAACGGCGATGACCTACCTATATAATGACCGTCATAATACTGTTATAAATACAGCGCTCCATAATTATGACAATAATTATCTATCTATGCATTGTAAAAGAAAGCTGTATAAATAGGACGACATACGAAGCCAAGAGTAGAGAAACGACGAGAATGACACGAGGAGTACGGGTAAAGAAGAAGACGGGTGACGTAAAAGTGATTAATGTGATTTTATGTAATTAGGATTAATTTATTGTTACCATTACGGCTGGTATTAAATAAACGTTCGACTTAGTTTGCGTTCAAAGTAGTTGTGTTCACCTGTCGGAGATCTTGAACCTACGGATAAACGAACTCTTGACTATCGTTGGAAGCTACAACATGGTGTTGGAGATATAGCGAGTACTGAAGCTATAACATCGATGTTGGTGGTTACTGGGTCGAAAAGGTTACAACACTGACGTTAGAAAAAGATTACAGAAGATTACACACTGGTGACAGAGATAAGATTCCGATAGATGGAACTCACTGCAGTAAAGAATACCAGGACTAGAGAACTCAATGTAATTAGTCGGACAAGAGAAACTTAACTACTGACGAATAGTTGTATTCCGTGATTTACCTGTCAATTAGTTATTATGCTGTAATCTAACGATTTAACGATCGAACGAACGAATGATCGATTACGGCAATACACAACAGTGATTGCCAGCACTGTTTCCTTTCTAACAAAGTCATCTGAAATAAGTCTGCTTAGGAATCAAGAATCCACGTAGAGAGAAATAACCATACCCTACATACCATAGTTCAAGGGGTCGGTTTTAACAATAAGTTGTTTATTGTCTCATTACAAAGAGAATTTTTTATTGTCGTTTTTGTAGTCCAACTTAAAAATACAAAAAAATATAATAGAATTTTGGAACAACATTGAAAAACTAAAACTTCTTTATTTTAGAAATCAAAGTAAATTTAAATATATAATTACTTTTTTCAAAATAAATCTTAATTATAAAAAAAATCAAGATAAATTAAAATTGACAATAAGCACGAAAATATCGAAATATAATAAAATTCTAAAAAAGGTGTAAAACAAAATTTTTATATTTTATATGAAGTGAATAATTTTTAGCATAATTTAAAAAAATTTACTTAAAAATATTTAATATATTTAAATCTAAAAATATTAAATAAAGGAAAATATAATATAAAAGTTAAAAAATGAAAAAATAAAACGTACAACCAAATTTTTTATAAAACAATGTAAAAGATGACAAAATGCCGCTAGATGAACATAATATTAGATATTAAAATTACTAATGTATATGAGAATAATTTGGTAGATAGAATAATTTTAGTATATCGTTCCCTTTCTTATATATGATAAATTTCTCTGTAAACGTCATAGTATCGAAAATAAAGGAATAATATAAATGTGATTTTAAACCAAATAAAATATCACCAGATATAAGGTCAGTTATAAAGTGACCCTATATGTTGTTTGTTTGTCCAATGTTACATTGCAAACTTAAATAGCTTTAGTGTACACATTTCTGCATCTTTCATGCTGTGTAAGTTGGGTTGGTATGATCTTAATTATTATCTTTTACGTTTTATACCTTGTGTACTATTTTGTTTTCTCTTTGTTTTTTTTGTTGGACATTGGACACTTTACCCACTCTCATTTGCCTCTTTCCCACAACGACCTTCCTTTGTTGTGGCTCGAAACCGTTTTGTTCGTCTATTACCTGAGTGATTAGCGTTGACTCTTAACAAGTATGTTTATCATAGACAAACTTTCTTTTATGATAGCTAGGGTTTCCCATATTTTTGCACTTTTGAAACCAATCAGTTGCTAGCTTTATTGATTTTCTTTCTGCACTTAGACAATTGCACTATATTCCTGCGTAGACTTTTGTTTCTTGGAGGATGCTATTTTCAATAACAGCAACCAATGCAGCTTTTTGTGGCTTTTATGTTGAAAACTAGTCTTTGCTTCACTGTTCTTCTAGTCTAGTTTTGTGGGAGTTGTATACTTTTTAAACAATCTATTGTTGGTTTTTAAAAGTTTTTTCTCAATTTTGCCTTTTTCTTGTATCCTCTGCAATCAGTAAGAGCTTTTTTTATGCTGATCTGGGTGCAATTTTTGTTATTCTAGATTAGAGCTGCTTTTAATATGTGATTTAACTATCCATGGCTTATGTACGTCCATTTTCTTCATCATTTATTGAGCACGTTAACTAAAATTTAGCAGCCTATCATAAATGACATCTAAAGCCTAGTAAACACTAGAAGACATATCGGGTAACTTATTCATGAACCGTTTAACAACGACGACCTGCAGTCCTTCATGTGCGTTTTTCTTTGTCTGGTCTAGGGTCCACACAGTGAATTGAAAGTCTTATTGTTGTTTTTGTAGTCCAGCAGAAAGTATAATAAAATATAAAAAGTTTTTATTATAAAAATATAAATAAACATAAATTACTTTTAAAATAGGAACATAATTTTTTTTAATTTCGAAAAAAAAACCAATTAAAATTGAAAAATTCAATAAATTTTTATTATAAAAATATAGATAAATCTAAATCACTTCTAAAATATAGATAAATACAAAAACAAGTTAATCAATCAATCAATCAATCTTCGTTTTGCGTCCAGAGACCCGGTTTCTCAAGGTAGGACGCTGTTTTCTTTGCCATCAACTTTTTTGCCAAATTAGACGATCAGTTATATCCATTTCATTTAAATTTAGAGCTTTCATGTCTTGCTCGATTGTTTGCGACCAGGACTTCTTTGGACGGCCTTTGGGACGTGTGCCAGGTACTTCAACATCTGCAAGAGAAGCTATGGCACTATTTCCACTTCGTTTGACATGACCAAACCACCGCAGACGGTGTTGCCGGCATTCGTCCTCTATATCATCCAAACCAGCACGACGCAGGATTTTGGTAGATTTGATGTGGTCCTTCAGACTAATTCGTTGCATCTATCGGAGCATTTTCATGTCGGTTCGTTGGAGTTGTTCCAGTTTGGTTGTCATTGGCCATGTTTCTGCACCATATAACAACACCGGACGTATCACCGATTTATAAAGTCTTGATCGTAGTGGTAGTGGAATGTCACGCCGCATCAATATAGAGGCAAGGAAATGCCATTTATTCCAGGCTGCACGTATGCGTGCTCGAACGGCAGCTTCAGCTGTTCCAGTACAATCCAGAACATTCCCTAGATATTGAAACAATGTGATTTTCTCTATTTTAATGGCTTCCAAAATAGTGCTATTTCGAATTTGTTGTTGTGGATTGATGCAAGCAGGAAAAACAAAATTAAACACTTTAGATAAAGTACCAATTATTTTTGAACAACGTTTGTGACACCACTGGTTACACTGCTGACACTTGATTGAATTGTTACCTACACCAGCTTTACAAACTGAACAGGGCCATCGTCCAGTAGCTGTGGATTGGATGGGTTCACCAGTGTTCCTTGTTTTGGTTTTGCTGATGTTGACTTTGAATTCATGATCAGCGAGTCTGGTGTTCCAATCTTCAAACATCTGTGCTGCATTCTGCTCAGACAACCGTTGTGCTGACGAGAGTCTTAGTATTCGTAAAACCAAATTGATAATTTCCAATTGTGATGCACGACGTTAATCTTCTCTCAATGATTTTCTCCACAATTTTCACGGAGTGTTCTAACAGACGTATACCCCGATATGATGAACAGTTCAATGGATCACATATGCCTTTGTATAGCGGGACTGTCATGCTATGGTTCCATTCAGTCGGCATTGAGCAATTTCTCAAGATTTCACGGCAAAGTTGTAGTAACGTTTGGATACCTGCAGTACCAGATGCTTTGATAATGTCATTTGTGAGTCCAGAGGGCCCTGCTGCCTTTCCATCTTTCATAGCTTCTGTAAGCTCCTCAACAGTGATGTTCGGAATCGGACCTTCGATGGGTGGAGCGTCAAAATTGACATTGATGGGATTTGTTTCGTTTAACAGACGATTGAAGTATTCTCTCCACGGTAGCTTGATTTCATCTTGTTCAAGAACCATCTCATTTTTGTCATTTCTGATAAATGAGGCACCAACTATGTCTTTTTTCGTACGCTTTGCTCGTTTTGCTATACGATACAGAGATTTCATTTGTTCACCTTTGCTTTTAGTGAGCCACTCTCTGCACTGATCTGTCCGAGCCAGTGCAACTTGACTTCTTACATAGTTGTTCTTCTCACGGAAAATTTTATGGTCATTAACAGACTTTGATTTTTGCCATTGCTTGTATGCAACTTTCTTTTCAGCTATTGCATTTTGTACACTGTCATTTCAACACCAAGTGTCACGTTCATGCTGACGTTTTGTACCAGTTTTCTCACAAACTGTAGTTGCCGCGTTCATTATAACGGTTTTGTATGTACTCCAATCTGTACTGGCTTGCGATTGGTGGTCTAACTGTGTGGCGACAATCTGTTGAAATTTTTCTCGATGAATATTGCTTTTCAGCTTCCACGTTTTGATTTTCCAAGGCATTTGTTTAGACTTATGTTTTGACAGTTCGACAACCAGGTCTGCCACAAGGAGTCTATGTTGGGCGACACATTATTCGCCAAGTATAACTTCGACGTTTTTGAATAGCCTTCGGTGTTGTTGCTTGACAGCGAAGAAATCAATTTGCGTGGCTGATGGTCCACTTTTGTATGTTATGAGATGTTTTAACCTCTTTCTAAAATATGTCTTCAGTAAACAAAACCCGTGACTTTCAGCAAACTCAAGGATGCGGTTGCCATCTTCATTCCGTTTTCCATAGCCAAAACCGCCATGCACGTTGTCAAAACCATCTGTTTTCTCTCCAACGTGGCCATTGAGATCGCCTCCAATCAGGACTGTTTCAGATTTTGGTATTGTTGAGATGGTGTCAAAGAATGCAGTCCAGAAGTCATTTTTCATCTCTTCTGATTCGCCTGTCTGTGGTGCGTATGCAGAAAAAATAATCATTGTTTGCTTTTCTATGCGAAGTTTGATCCACATGAGACGTGAATTAATCCTTTTAATATCCAGTACTTCTTGGGCTAGCGGTTCTCTGACAAAAATTCCAAAACCATTTTGGCCGTCTTTTGACCATTCCAGAATAGTTTACATTTTTCTTTGTCTGAGTTGACATGACCGACACCATGCAATTTCCATCGGGTTTCCTGAAGGCAGCAGATGTCAATCCTTCTACGCTCGAGCATTTCTGCAATTTCCATGCTGCGGCCAGTCAGTGATCCAACATTGAGCGTTCCAAGTCTAAGTACCATAGCACCCCTTGACCACTTAAGGCCTGCTGGGGACTAGGGGCCGTTGTTTTTCTTTGTGATGGCATAAGAGTAATTTGGGGAAAAGTTTTTACATCCAGACACCCATCCTGATGACAACCACCAGTTATAAGCGGTGGGCCTAGCCTTTCGCTCAAAAGCACGCAAGGCAGCGTGGATGCAGTTTTATGTCATACCCAGGACAAAGCGTAAAACATTAATTAAATGTATGACTTATTCGTAAAAAGTCCAACACTGATGAATAATAAAACGTTCGAATACTAACTGAGACGTAAAAAAGATACAAAGTTACAGTTTCCACATAAGAATAATTTATTTCAATTTTTGTATCAGTTGCAACAATTTTTGTATCATTTTGTAACAAATCCAGCCTCCCACCGTAGCCAAAAACTTATTTTATTTTATTTATTACGCAACTGACAAGGGGACCACACAGACCACTTGCCCGGTCAGAAAAAAAGTTTAGAAACAATTACAATTAAACAAAATGGCAGAAAATGAAAAAATGAAAAAGAGATTAATACATTTAAATGATTGTACAAGTTTGTATGAGCAGCAAAAAGAAGATTTTAAACTTCAAAAACATCGTACAGCAAATGTTTCTAATGAGTAAATTATTTTGGCAACTACCAAATAATTTAACTACAAAAACAAGTTAGAATAAATAAATTTAAATAATTCTTTGAAAAATTTCAAAAAAATAAAAATTTACTTGAAAATATTTTAAAATATTATTAAATAATAATATAAAACAAAATAACATTTTAAAAAATTATAAAAAAATATATTTGTTAAAGAAACCAAGTCACGTCTAAAATACCCAAATTGCGCAGCATGTCTATTAGCGCTTTAGAACGCTAGAGTTCCCTCAAACGTAATTGATACACCATTGATTTTGAAATGGCATGTCCATTGTCCATTTTACATCTGTTGTGAAAATTGTGGCACTACACTTTTTATGTTCCTCTTCATTCTAACATTTTTACTTTATGTAGATACTGCGCCGATCTCTTTTTGAGATTTTAATATTATTTTTTCCCTCTGCAGCTGTCTTGCTGCGCTTTTACCAAATCATTTGCAAATGCACAAATCAGTGACTTTTCTTAGAATTTATTAAATAGATCGTTGTATATTAAGAACAGTAGTAGATATAATACTGCTTCCTGTGGCAACCCTGCTTTTATTAGTTTTATTTTACTTTTTGATTCACCAAAGTTCTATGTTGCTTTCATGTTTTGATGAAGATAATGATGTATTGGGCACACCACAATCTATCATTTGTTCTATAAGTTTCTATGCAGTAGTATTTGAAAAGTCAAATTGAATCAGTATATTTTTCTCTCATGTATTTTTATTTTTTAACCGTAAGCATTGATCAGCAGTATATCTTACAGGTCTAAAACCTGCCTGGTTTTTATTTAGAACTCCGTTTTCTCTAACAACCAACTCAATCTATTTTGATAATCTTTTCTATTAACTTTCCGACATACAATGTGAGGCTTATGGGCCTTGACACTGATGATAATTCCCTGTCCTGTTGGCTTTGATTTGCTTATTAAATGTGATGCATGGATTTACGAACACTTACTTGCACTGTGAGGTTGTTGTAGGTAAAACAGTATATGTATTTTCTGTTATGGCGGCCCAATAAACTTTTAAAAAATTATAAAAAAGATATATTTGTTAAAGAAACCAAGTCACGTCTTTGGGTCACCAGCTTTTTTTGAAAATAAAGAATGAAAAAAGGATACCTATAAAAAAAACGTAAAAGAGAATTTAAAAAAAAAGTAAAAAAAAAAACAAGAGTAGATATCTAAAAACAGTATCAGCTAAACACTCATTTTAATACTCTGTTCTCAAAATTATGTAACAAAATATCGATATTAAATAATGAACGATTTTTCAATTAACCTGCAATTTTGTATTCAGATCCACAATTTTCATATTTAATTTATTGACTGTGGCTAATGGTACCAAAGTTTCTAGAAATCTTTCAAATGGAAACAAGTATGCGTCATAAATATTGTTAAACAACCATGTTGAAATTATTTATAATTTGTAACAAAATCCATTAAACAAAATCATTGGCTGATTTGGTCAAACCATTTTTTATTAGAGATAAAATAAAGGTCTACGATATTTCTAAATTTTTTATTTGGATTCTTTGTAAACGAATATATTTTTTTTTTATTTATAACCGAAAAGACTTGTTGAAAAATAAGTTTTCTCGCAACTAAAATTTTTTAAAATGCACCTTTGGATCAATAAGATCGCTTGCTACTGGCGTTGCTAACTTTAACGAAAATTTTGCTATTACTGGTCGTCATAAATTTAGGCAAAACCCACAAATTCAAAAAGTTTACCAAATCGGACGTTACAAACCCCGCAATTTAAAGTAGAATGAAAGTAATGAAAACATCACTATATACATGCTCAAAAGTTGTTAAATGAAATTTGAATTGAATAAATCTCCAACTATGATGACGACACCACCAGGTGGACAGGATATTAAACCTAATAGATTCTGCATACCGTACCAAACGAAGCAGAACAACATCGTCAGAAGTACGACGTATATTTTAATCAAAAGACAATATCAAGTTTTCGGACTTAAATTATTTCTCTAAGAGCAATAAATTTATTTGCAACTACGTTAACAATTAACTAACATTTTCAAAAAGAATGGTTTTTGAAAAGATTGTCGATTTCATTTAGTATTGGTTGTGTAGTGCTTGATTGGTTCGCTTTATAATTGTCATTCATGGAGTTTGTTGAGCGGGAAATGCCAACGGTTGTAACACAAAGATCAGTGTTTAGTTAAACGTTATTTTTCATGTACGTGTTTGGCTTACCAGGTTTGATTTAAGATCATGGTTTGAGGATTCATAAGTATGCGGATGACTACAAATCTACTCTGCAGGTCCGGTGAAAAAAATTCAAGCTATTTCTAGCGGTCTAATTAGGTGTATTAAAAATGTAAATAATTGATTGAAAGTGAATTAATTGAAGCTAAACCAAGACAAGCGAGAATTGATATGTTTGGGTCCTTAAAAGGCTTCATTCGTATTAAGAGGTACGATTTTTGATAGGAATACGACACCAACTGATAACTCACTTTGCTAAAGAATCAACTTTGTTTGCTTAAAAAAAACTATATAAACCAAACCTGCACTGAAGATGATTTATGATGGATGTTTATTTGGGGTTTATTGATTAGGACAGCTACTGCAATTTTTAAAGCAGCTTTCAATCAATGGCAGAAGGCGGAGACTGATAAAGAACAAAAGACATACCGATCAAAGAACACAGAAGCGAAATGTCGGTCAGTCTACCGAATAGCAAATCAGGCCAAAAGACTGAAAAAGGATATGCATAAAGAATAATAAAGGCACCATAATAACCTTGCAGAATAAAGTGAAGGAACACAGGCAGGATTACTTCAATCAGTTATTGAATGAAACAAACCCTACTGGAGTTGACTTTTATGCACTTCCGGTGAAAGGACCGATTCAGGGCATCACAGCTGAGAAGCTTACGGATGCGTTGAAAGCAATGAAGGAAGGTAAAGCGACTGGTCCGTCTGGACTTACAAATGATATCATCAAGGCATCTGGTAGGGCAGGCTTCCAAGCCCTCTTACATATCTGTCAAGAGATGTGGAGTAAATCGAAATTACCAGTGGAATGGAACAGTAGCACAACTGTGCCAATATATAAAGGAAAAGGAGGCACACTGTAATGCTCCTCATATCGGAGTATACATCTTCTGGAACACTTCTGGAACTGAAATCTTGAACCTACGTATAACAAACACTTGACAATCGTTGGAAGCTACAACAATGGTGTTGGAAATAGAAAGATTATCAAAATTATAACATTGGTGTTGGCAGTTTCGAGGTCAAGAAATACAACAATATATTTGTAATTTTGAGTTACATCTTATATCTACCATTTATTAATACCTCTTAGATTTCTGTTTCTCTTTTTCCAAAACTTCGATTTGAATTTTCTTATCATTTATAACAATGTTTAATCTTTCAACCTGATAAACGAATTAGAAAACATTATTAAATATATGCCTAGCACAAAATAATAACGACCTCATTTTTAAGATTCGAATTTTGTTGCTTTATATTTTCCAAATCATCAAAAACTCTTTTCTCTGTTTGCGTCGATGAAGCAGTGACATTTTTCTAAATTTGAAGTTATATTGAATTATCTAATTAAGTATTAAATCAATGCCATAATATTATAAACACCGATTTGTTTTGAAAATCATTAACTTGTTGAAGATAACACTGTTTTTCATCAAGCCAGTTCTCTTCTTTAGTTTTGAATAACGCCTGCGAATTAAATTAATTACAAACAATATTTAAAATAGTTTTAATAATACAATCAATATATGAGCGGCATTTCTATTAATACTAAAAACATTTTGAACCAATTTAAGTTATTTGTACTAGCAAGAAACCCGTTAGTTTTAATTTATTATTTGAATACGCACAAAAAAATTTGAAAAACGTTTGTTATGAGCCCTTATAATATATTATAATAAATATAACAAATAATAATAATAATAATAATAATAATAGACGATATAATAAACGATAATAATAAATTATAATAATAATAAACAATATCTCATTGACGTGGATCGGAAAAGCCCTTATTAACTGAGACAGTGAGAGGCTGACATTGAAATTGCACGATGGTTTAAAGCAGCAGGAAAAGCACCGGAGATCCTATTTAGATTCGCAATAAAATACTTAATACAACGATTACCAACAAACTCAAACTCAAATATATTTGTGTGTGTAAATCCACCGATTAATTAGTGTTAATCAACTTATAATCAAATTTTTCAATTTGTCTTAGTAACATTTTTATCAATGAAAAAAAATTGAAACTCTATTTTTATTAACAAACATTTTATGAAAACTTTTGCTATTTTTATTAACAAACATTTTATGAAAATTATTGCTGATAGATCTACTTCGACGTTAAACTGTCATCATCGGTGCATTATTTATTGACAAATTGTCGTCATCATCGTCATTGTTAGATGGCTGGTGGACCAGATTGACGTTGCTGTTGCTAATTCTTCGAGTTTTTCAGGTTTGATGAAAATGGCTTCTGCAATTCTTAGGTTGTAACGTTGTAAATTGTTGTGGAAAGTTTCTAGGTGATCTTTTATTGCACCGCCTTTTTTGTGCATAGTGAGTCTCACAGTAATTTTAGATAATATAATGGCAAGCGCAAGACCTGGTATCAACATTTTCGCGAATGTAGAAAAAGAATCAGTATATCCGATATCTGATTTGTTCAGTACCCTGATGCCCGACATTGCTGTCCTCAGCGGGGAAAAGATTGAAGTATTCGAACTGACCGTTTGCCATGATACGAGCTTTATGAACTCTAAACAATATAAATTAAATAAATATATAAATAAATAAAAAAAAAATCTTGTAAAAGATTTTAAAAATTTTAATATTTTAAATAACACTTCTGAAATCTCACCAATAGGTTTTATAATCTTTTTAATTTATCTTCTATCGATTTAAAAAGAACTGACCAATTTCGACATAGTCTAATTAATAATGTTATATCGTCACCATATGTTATGTACTATGACAAAAACTATGCGTGAACCATTTTTTTTATACTATTCTATCATCATGGTATTCATCATTGTACTCATTTTAAAAGTACGAGCAGAGTTTTACCATTTTATTGACTTTCAATAAGTTTATATTATATTATTTTTATTTATTTACTACATTTTATATTTTATTTTCATATTTTAGATTTTACTTATGTCGTAATTTATAGTTTATTTTATTTTATATTTTACAATTAAATTTAATTATCTATTTTATAATTTTTTTCCAAATATTTTTCACTCTTTTATTTATATATTTCATTACATTGAATGAACTATTTGGATTTTATTTTCAGTTTTCATAATCATCATCAGTTTTTCGGCCAATAAAAGAGTTCTCAATATTATCATTATTATTATCACTATTATTGTTGTTGTTGATGTTGTTGTTGTTATTATCATTATCGTCATCATCGTCATTGCTGATTGACGTTACCGTTGTTAATTCTTCGAGTTGGAAATGCTGTTAGGATTCGTTGTTGGATGTTGATAGAAGGTTTTTGCGATTGGTTGTAGCGTTGTTGATTGTTGTTATCTAGAAGGTTTCTACTTATTGGGGTGTTGTGGAAAATTTCTAGATGATTTTTAATTGCACCGTTTAGTGGCAGTTTATTTCATTGTTCTCTAAAATATGAATGACGATTTTTTATGTGGACGCTGCTAAAATCACACTAAATTATTCCTCCGCTGGGGTTTAGTTTGAGATACTCACAAAGCTTTAGTTTTAGTAATTCGGCGTGATGCTTCAACAATTTTATATTGAGTCCAGAAGTTTTATATGGCAACGAAATAACTTCGGCGGCACAGCTGATTATCGGTAGAGATAAACATTTTCTTACCATTTCTGTTTCAAGACGGCCTAGAGTATTCTTTATCCAAATTAGTAAAATGCTGTAGGCACGGAGTTCAAAGGTTTTTGAAATGGAACGAAGCGTCTGAGAATTTAGCGTCTGAATATTTTCATCTTCCACTGACCTGTTGTATCCAATCTACCAGTGTTGATAACAAAAATTAATATTTTTATTTTATGATTTTTTTATTAATAAAAAAAATAGATAGGGTTACCGATCTTTGAACCTATTGCATAGTTGATCTTTTTCCTTACGGAAACGTCAAAAGTCATTGTTTATCCAAGCGCCATTAGGACGGGATATAAATTAATAATAATAAATAACAATGCTCGTCATTCATAAAATTTAAAATGGATGAGTACAAGGAGAAATAAAGTCAGCTTAAACTGCAGTTATGATCACAATAAATGGCATATGACGATGATATTGCCGAGTTGATTAAATTGTAAAATTGATCCAACCAATTTAAGTTGACAAGTAAATAAATGAAAATGTTTCAAGGCACCTGAAGGGAAAATTTCAAAAGTATTAATTATTGTTTATGTATGCTGTGTATATATATATATATATATAATCATTGTTAATCAAAATGTTATTGAGATTTTGAGAATATTTAGATATTTTATAGTCCCTTGACTTCGAGAAGTTTGTCTCGTGGCAGACAGTCAGTTCAAGTTCATTCGATTGTGTCTCCGTAAAAAAGAGCAATATCAAGACGAAGTGATCTGATCTAAACAGAGACGATGCTGGGAGAAATTCACTGCTGTTCGTATTAGCAAAAACTGTCACCTCCGGCTTTGCGGACGATCTGGTCTCTTTCAAAATCAAGGATAATACACCTATCCCCCGATTTAAACGACACTTGTTTTACACGTTTTCGCTTTTATACGCTTTTACAAATAAGTTTTTTTTGTTTTTATCGCACTCTACTATGCTATTGTGATTGAACACGTGCGCTGTGTACACATCTCACAGGGAATCCCGAGCTTATATGCTGACTTGCACACGCACACTGTGTCTGTATTTCTTCGAATAAAATTAAAGTTTTATCTACGGAAAATTGTATTTGAGTGAAAGTTTCACAGTTTCAGAAAGATTTAATTTTCCATATTCGTAAATTACAAGTGAGTGCCTAATTTAGATTATTATAAATTAACGGCTTCAATCACAGCCGTAAAATAAAGAGAAAAAACAATTATTATAATATATAATTTGTTGATTTTTTTTAGTTAACCAATAAACATTAGATAGAATTCTCTTACAACTGTTAAACAGCAAAATTATGCATTTTCTGCAAGCTTTTCGATTTACAAGGTTTTGACTTGAAAATTTTTAATTTTTGATTTATAGGTTAATCGTTAATCTTTTCAGAGTCGCTACTGAACTATAATTTGACAAAACATGCTTGCGTGACGTTAATGTTACTGCAGATGTTGTAATTGATGTTGATGTTAAATTGTAGTTGACGCCGTTGTTGTCGATGCTCTTATTGAATTTTTTCTTGTCAGTGTTACTGCTGCTGATGGTATCGCTGATATGTTTGTTGTTGTTAATAGCGTTGTTGTCGATGCCGTTGAAGATTTTGTTGTCGCTTTTGATATTGATGTTATTGTTGGAATCATTTCTGTTGCCGTTGTCAATGGGGAGGCTATTGTGATATTGTTTTCGATAATAATGTTGCAGGCGGTGTCATTGCTGTTGTTGCCATAGATATTGATGCCGCTGTTGTTGCCATAGATATTGATGCCGCTGTTGTTGCAAATCATTGTTGGCACCGTTGTTGTTGATGAAGTTGCTAATGGCGTCAGTGTTGTTGCTGGCAGTGTTGCTGTTGTTGTTGATTTCGTTTGAGTTATTCGATCATTAAAGGTTGTGGTAAACTTTACATACCCGTTGATGTAATTTGAGGCCTTTTTCATTTTAAAATTGTTTACCGCAATAGCAAGTTATTGAATTATTATTGTCGGAAATAAATGAAAAATTAATTAACGAGTTTGAGTTGAATATATTTGGCAAAATGTTAACGTTAGACTTTAGTAGAACGTGCATTGTTAAAATTCGAAGTGCCTTTAACTTTAATGCCATGTAGTGGCGGTTAATAAACGACTTATTACAGTATGGACATTAAGTCAAATATTGAAATAGTAGTAAAATATAAAACACAATAAAATTTAATTTTTAAAAGTACTGGACTCTTATACTCCTATAATATACTTAATAACCCGTATAATATTTTTTTTCAAATTAACTCAATTAAAACTGTATAACTCGAAATAAAACCGAAGATACGTAATAAAATCAATAAGTTAAACAAAACGGCAAACTCTTTTATAATACGTTATAATAATAATAACAATAATAATAATAATTAATAAAGTTTATTTCACGCTTCACAATTTTGACGCTGTTGTTGCCCCCTTGACAACTATCAAATTTAATAAAAAAAAATTTTTTCAAGTTTTCTGTTGTTAAAATTTTTCATTAGAATTTTATGATCCTTTTTAGAATTTATTTATATATATTTTTAATAATATTAAAAATATAGAATAAATATAGAATAATTCTAAATCAATAAATGATGCATTGACGATCAGTGCCGGATTAACCATTAGGCAAACAAGGCAAGTGCCTTAGAGCCAAAAAGTAGACTAGGGACACAAAAAGCAGATTTAGGGAAGGAAAAAAAGTAGAAGCATTTTCTCGTCAGAGTCAGAAGTTAGTTTTGACTTTTTATTCTATGCAAATAGGCGAACAAGTGTCGGTGTTATTAACTATTCATTTAATCTTAATTCTCTTCTTTCTCGTCATGTAAATGTATTTATGTATCCATCTGTATGTAAGTTTGTATATTTATATTTATGTGCTCATATGTGGCTATGTTATTGTATATATGTATATATAATATGTATGTTTATAGCTATAGTTATATAGTATATGAATGCATATTATATATATATATATATATTATGAGATTTTTTGTACAAACGTATGTATGTTGAAGTATGGTGCCAACATCGCTTGGCTCCCAGCAAAATCGATTTTGGAAAAAAATATGATATGACAAATACAATACTAAATTTCTATAAAAAATTCTTTTTTAAAATGAATTAATTTTAACGTAAACTTTTGTTTTTATAAAATAAAAAAAAAACAAACATACTTCCATATTTTTAATTGTATCTTTCAACTGAACAATTTCTCAGGAATATTCACTAACAGTTTCAAACTGGCAAAAATAGGTGTTTTAGTTTTAGTAACTATATCAAATTACGAGCATATATTATGAAAAAAATTAATAGTTAAAGTTTGATAAATTTTGAAAAAGAATTTCATATGAACAGACACAACGGATAACCAATTAACAGTATAGAAATGATAAACTCATCTTTTATCTAGAAATTGCTTTTATTCATAGTTTGATTTCAGACATTCATGCGTTACATTGTGAAGCCTGAAAAATCTGTTTTCATCAACAAAATTTTTCCAGCTGTTATTGTTACCTATATATTTAGTTTAAAAGAAACTCGGTATATTTGCCCAAAATTTTTCTTAGATAATTCCTATGCTTTACG